TTTTCCGGAGTCGAGGCAAAATGATCCCGTTTCCTAACTTTCGCCATTGTATCTTTGTCCGATAAGGAAGCAAACGGGTTAATCATAGTTGCTGCTTTTTAAAAGCGTGCAAGACGAACAGTTGTTCGTAAGATCCACGCCCTTCCTGGGAGCAAGATTACAAAAATCCCCTCTGAAATTTACTCCCAAGTAAGCCCATCGAAAAATCACTCTGCAGCGATCTTTGCAAAACAACAAGCACACACCCTGAATCTTGGTCTGGTTCAGCCCCAAAATTTAAGAAATCTCAGCAATTTTTAGCAGAGGAGGGGAAAAGGAATCGGGGGGCCTCGATCCGGTCCTGAATTCAGGGATTCCCACTGAATAATGCCAGACCAAAGCAGCTGCAACGTACAATGTCCGAGTGTGAAAAGGAATTTTTTTTTAAATTGTGGCTTGCCTGCGGGGCTCGAGCCGCTTCCCTGAGAGTAAGCCCCGCTAGATGCAAGCGAGGGTTCCTCCTGAGGAGACCCGGCAAAGCGCGAGGCATCCTCCTCCTTTTGTTTGCAAAGCCGGCTCCCCCCAGCGCCAGCGCAAAAGCCGCCCACGGCTCCGGCCACTGACCTGTTGCAGCTCGTTGGTGAAATAAAGGAAGGTGATGGCCACGCAGATGGTCTGGAGCAGGACCGCGAAGACCAAGACCAGCCCGCAGCTGAGCGCCACGCCGGGGCCGCCGCCGCCGCCGGACTGCATCGTGGACCGGGCAGGGGGACAAAGGACCCCGGCCGGGCAGGCACACTCGGGGCCTCGGAGTCTGCCCGCCGGAGAGGGAGTCTGGCGATCCCTCCCTTTCTCTCTCTCTGGGGCGTGTGGGGACAAAAAAAGGCGGTCAGGAAGGGGGTTGGTTTGTTTTCGTTTGCAAGGCGGAACGAAGGCGACCTCAGGGCTCCGTTTTGAAAACGCCTCCAACTCATCCTCTTTCCCCTCCCACTTCAGGCAACGGGGCGGGTCTTCCAAGTTTCCTTGTGGTGTGGGTGGGGGGGAGGTTGCCTCCCCTGCAAAAGTTGGGGGCGAGGAGCCCTTCCACTGGAAGCATGCACGCATGCATGCAGGAAACCTTGCTTTCTCCCAATCCACAATGGCAGTTCTCCATTGCGTTGGTTTTCCAAGGTCCAGCGGCGCTTTCACTTCTGTGTACCACCGACCGTTTCATCAAATGAAAGATTGTGCTATTAAAAGCAACAACAACTTCGCTTTCAAGTTTAAGCATCTAAAACTATATACATGCATTAAAAATCCAATAACCACAGACAAGCCTCCATAGCCTCCTCCCTTAATCCCCAAAGGCCTTGGGGAGTAAGTAACCATGTTTTAACTTGTAGTTTTGCAAGAGGGAGGCGTGTAAGTCTGGGCAAGGGTATCAGGCAAAATTCAAATGCTGTCTCCCTATGTCTGACGAAGTGGATGTGTAAAGGAAAGGTCAGATTAAAATATAATAGTTAGTCTTTAAGGTGCCCCATGTTTTTGGTTGTTTTGTTTTTGTTTTGTTTCTTTGAATTTTGCTTGACATGTTTTAACTGGGCATCAAAACGAAGTTCGTGTTGGCACCAGTCATAAATAGGGATGCTACAGTTAATTGGGCTCCATGATCACTGCAGATGGTGACAGCAGCTACAAAATTAAAAGACATCTGCTCCTTGGGAGGAAAACAATGACAAACTTTGACAGCATCTTAAAAAGCAGAGACATTACCTTGCCAACAAAGGCCCATATAGTCAAAGCTATGGTTTTTCCAGTAGTGAGGTATGGAAGTGAGAGCTGGACCATAAAGAAGGCTGACTGCCGAAGAATTGATACTTTTGA